TATCAAACCCAATATATAATCTGTTCATATTTTTAATAAAACTATATATATTATTCTATTAAGATTTTAAATACAAATATTTTTTAATAGTATATATTTAACTTTTACTTGATACAAATTACGTAATATATAACAGAAAAGATGACAAAAAAACATATTATAAAATTGAAAATAGATCTAGTTAGATTGATATAGTGAATGTGTTTGAGAATATAAAAAAAAGAGGTCCATTAAGCTTAATGATTACAGATGCTGGGGATAGAGTCCATATTCATGATCTTAGTCACAATATTTTATTCGACAAAAGCATATGGTCGGATTTTATAGTTACACTTGAATCAGATACCACTAGTAGTGGAAATGATGTTAATACTGAAAATCATGTCCATTCAGGACAGTTCTACACATTAATCCAATGGAATTTCTCTTCAACCGTGATGGCCTCTTCATCAAAATTCTCCTCCTTCGACTCTATTTTAGCTGCTACGATCAATGGCGATGGTGGCGACTTGTAATCCTTGCTTTTACCCCACAGCACCAGATATAGACCCCCGATTATAATTATGGCTCCAATCACCCTGTCGAACAAACATTATATGACCGACACTTGATTTTATATTAATAAATGAACCTATAAAATTTAAATAATACGAGAATGACCGTCTCCGTTAACCCCTTCGATTACCTTCCGAGAAAAATTTGTTCGGCAAGAATGAAAGACGACATAACGGCTACAATAACCATGCACAAGGGGCTAAAAGCCGTCACGAACACTGGACCTCTGTGTTTCATTATCATCCCTTGAACGTAATAACTTACTCCTGAACATACAATACCCTGTAACCATTCAATTTTCATATATCAGAGAATAACCTTAGGGTAAATGATCATAGTCAAGTCGTAGTTCCGGACTAAGTTACCGGTTCCGATCGGCAACGATTCTTACACTGTATGCAGCAGTGAGAAGCCTGGTGTCCCATTTAATAGCCCAAATGGCAGCATTTCCTTTTTCCATTATCAAAGCTGCAATGGTACCTTCAAGGGTGCCCACCAGGCATATCCAAACTGTTAGAGAAAGGTCCGCAGGGTACTTTTCCAGAGTGATTGCCTGTGAAAACACACACATAACTTATAATTAAGCAAATCAATGAACAAATATCACTGCAGAATTTTTCTATATATGTTACTTACTTGGAGGATGACAAAACAAGCATAGCTGAAGCAGCCGATTGTGATCAGTATACCACCTTTAATCGAATCGTGGAGATCCGTCCCGTTTTTGGCCGCCGCTTCGTGGTTGATCCTTCCTTTCGTCCAAAACAACTCTAGCACAGGTCCTTTCATCAGTGTCATCACCATCGCTCCTGCAACCGTTGCAAGTGTTCCTATAAGCTTTCCATGGCTACGGATCGATCTTAAGTTCACCTTCTCGAGCCTAAAACCATGTGATTAAACTTTTTTACACATCTCGTATGAACAAAACAGTCGATTTACGGAGTTTTTCTTCTTGTTTTACCTTAAAATCCAAGCCATAACGAAAGTAATGGCAGGAAGAATGTTGTACATGGCAGTTGCAAACGTTGCTGTCGTATATTTCATCCCAAGATAATACAAGTTTTGGTCAATTACTGGCCTGCCAAGGTACATATATCAACATTAGATGTCATATCAAACGATGTTGAAAACCGAAAAACCGTAGTTAATCGAAATTTTCGGATTATTACTCAAGTAAGCCTAGCAGCATTATTTTGATGAAGATTGATAGTGTCATCTTAGGCCTCACTTTCCTATCAAACAACAGAGTTTCAACTTCCATGTCAGTTAAAGAACATGCTTTACATGACTGGTTTTCTTATGATAGAAAGATCGAAAGAAGAAGAAAAATACTTATCGAGTAAAGCCGCAAACGGAGCCATGACAACGGTGGCAATGGCGTGACGGTAAACGACGAGTGCGTAGTTGCTCATACCCTGGTTTAATGCAGCCTTAGACAAGATATCCATCCCTGCATACCCAACTTGCAAGAGGATTGCAGCTAAAAATGGCTTGTACGAGCCTGCTGATGAACCATGTTGTTGGTTCTCCATTTTTTGTAATAATAACTTAAAAGTTGAACGAGGTGACGAACTCATGAGGTATTTTCTGGTATCTGTTTGTTGCTATTTATATTGTTTGATCAACTTTTGACACCCCATTACTTTCGTCTTTCTGTTGCAAAAACATTTATTTTACTATTACTTATGCGATACATGTCCACAGTTATAAAAATCATAAATTATTCTCATCTTATTTTACTCGTACAGACGTAACTACTTAAATCGAATAAATCGTGTTAAACTACTAAAACCACTTGTTCCCAGTCTTCTTTAACACGTGTAAATAAAAGTAGCAATGACATTTCCGAGATTAAAAACAACTTTATATTCAATGAATTAAGGGAAAAAGAGGGAGGAAATTCGAAACCGTTGCAATTGCTTTAAAAAATAATAATATAGTTGTAAGGTAGCTTTGCGTGGTGCGTGAGTCAATAAAATGGTGGAGTTACTGTACTTGTAGTTTTCCCCCAAAAGCTAATGTTAAAAGAGTGTTTCGTGACTGATTTGCGTTACTCCATGGATATAACGTAAGAGTTAGCAATAAATTAAAAAGAGATTCCCAAAAACAATCGGTTGTTCTGGTGGGATGAGGCACTAGATCCTTTAAATAAGATCAGGAGTTTGAACCCTGACATTTTCGAATGGAGTAAACTGATTTTGGAAGATCGACCTCACCTCTGCATTAGCCAATCTAAATTAGTCGGTCAATACATCATATACCAGTAATTAATATAAAAAGAAAAGGAGATTCCCCTCCTAGTTGAGTGCCTTTAGACATCCACTCTCATATGACACCCCCTTTCAATGTCTTATGGAGACTGGGTTTTCCCATTTCAACTTCATCCTTTTCATTATTTTGGATATTTAGTATTGGTAGGCAAATGACAATCTCAGGAAATGAGGTCAATACACTTGTTCATATGAGATTTCAATCAATTTATTGTGTCATATTATTAATTTTTTAACATTTTTTTCTTATATTTAAAAAAAGTGTTTATCTTTTTATTAAATCAATTCAAACTTGATAGAATAGTATGATAACTTTTCTTATCATGTTTTCATAAAATTTTAAAATTATTTTTTTAAAAATAATTTATGACAATATTTAAATAATGATAAAATAATATATTTTTAATTTTTTTTTGACAATATAAGAAAATATGATAAAATAATTAATTTGAACAACATCATTACTACTCCGTCGAATTTAGATTAATTTGATCAAAAATAAAAGAAATGCAACAAAAAATTAAATATTAAAATAATTAGACTGATAAAAATTTATATTTTCAAAAGCATACGGGATATTGGTTTTAAAAGGCATTTCAATGCTTAAATCGTTGAAGAGCTTTCAGAAAAATAAATATTTCTTTTTATCTTTGTCCAGCGTTTTCTTGTTTTTATATAGAGAGAGAGAAAGAGTAAATATCTTTATTGTTCGAGACTACAATTATCTAAGGAAATTTTAATTTTAATTTCAATTCAAATTATTATTATTAATTATAAAGAAAAATTATTCAGTCTAACTATAAAATTACATAGATATTGTTATGTTTAAAAACAGAAGTAGTAAATTCAGATTTTTTTTTTGATTAAATTTATAATATGTTAATAAATATTGTTTTAGTTTCGATTAACGCTATTTATTAAGTTAGATGTAAAACAAATTTCTTTTACTGAAAAATAAACTCAAACATGTCAGATGATAGTCTAGATGGACAATGGTTGGGTCGGGTTTTTTATCCACCCGATCCGACCCGAGAATAAGAAATTCTCCATCAGAGATCCGACCCGACCCGATCAAAAAAAGATTCCACCAGTCCTAACCCCGACCCGATATATAACTTAAAAACTCGACCCAAAATAATAAAAAATATTTTTTATTCAATAAAAACAGTGACTTAATTGAAAAAATATATATAGAAGGGTATGATTGCAATTATTCCTAAATATATAAGGTAAAATTATATATATTTTTCGGGTCTGATCAGGTATTTTTCATCCTAAACTCGAATCTGACCCGAACATCACATTAAAAAAACCCGACCCGATTCAAACCCATTTTTTATTAAAAAAAACCCGACCCTATCGGGTCCAAACCCGTCGGGTTCGGGTCCCATACCCATCTCTAGATATACTAAAAATGAAATATGGCGAAGAAAACAAAAATGAGTGAAGCTGACCATAGGGGGGCAGTTTGGACTTTGCCCATGTCTTGTAAATAGTAATACAATTTCGCATGTGAATATTGATCCATCACCACATTTCACCTTTCTACATCAATGAACATGTTTGTGTAGCCCATACATGAGTCCGAGTTGAGCCACATTTTTTTTTTTTGCTTATGCATATTCCACTAATCCAAAAACACGACGAAATGGCTTTGTACTGAAACAAGCCTCCATTATTGGTGAAGATAATTATTTTCTCCTTTGTTCCAACATCAAAATCTGTCAGATATCATCTTTCTTCGGCTTTACTGTTCACCATTTCGTTGAATTCTTCGCACAAGGAGGACCAGTCCATGAAGATAAAAAGAAAAGGTAAACGAAAAAGCCTAAATGTCCTCTTCATTTTCATGCCTTACGCTTCCACTTGCTAAAACAGTTGTGTTCCCTTCTGCCATTGGATTGATGCACTAACTCCTGAAAGCCACAATCAATAGACCTTTTCATGGTGCTTTAATGAAATGTGGGTCTAATGGGTCTCAATGATTAACAGACTGCCACTTAAACATAATGAATCCATGTCGAATGATAATTAAAAGTGTTACTTGTGGCGGTCATAAAGGAATCGATACGGATATCATTGTCGTCTTCGAATAAGCACTACATAACCGAATCAGATATACTGCGAGTGGCATCCCCTGTTTGTGAAATTATCCAGCAATGGATAGACATGATACTGTTAATCTTTATAATGCAAGTTGAGGAATTAAATATTTAACACTTGAAACCTTTTAAGATAAACATGATGACACGATTCATCCTTTCACGTAAACTAATTATAGCTAGGAGAATAAAAACAAAAAATAGTTGTAACCAATTAGTTTCCCCGGTTCAAAATGTACCCTTGAGATCTCATCCTTTGTTCAAGCCCCGCAGCAAGTTGATTTCTGAGCAGCCGCCGCAGATCCGGCTCCCTGACCTTGTTGGCTAATTTTGAGTGCCTGTGGCTGTAGAGACAAGAAAACAACAAATAAAAATGAAAACAATATACGTACATGAATCACCATAAACATCACAACTCGGCATATATGATATCAGAAAAGTTGATAGTTTCAAGCAAAAGAGTCAATACCTCGGCCTTTGCGTCAGTGTTTGCGAGTCTCTGCTTAATGTCCCTGGCTATTGAAAAGAAAACTTCCTCAACATTTTTTGCACTCTGCAAGATAAGAATAACTCTTGACCATACTAAAAAGATAAACTAAATATCAAAAGTAACTACAGCATGTCAGCATCAGCAGAAAAAATTACAGTCTCAAAGAACTTCATGCCGTATTCATCGGCAAGAGCTTGGCCCTTTGAGGTAGGAACGGCCTGAAAGAAAATTCCTGATCAATATAAGAAACGGAGTCAGAAGGGTAACCAAAAATGCATTTAAGAGGAAAAGAACACAGACCCGTTTGCTTTCATCCATGTCGGCCTTATTACCCACCAGAACCTTGTGCACATTGTCCGAAGCATGCTGTTCGATATTACGAATCCAATTTCTAATATCTAAGAAAAAAATGAATATTAGTTGAGTTGATAGGATGATTATAATGGAGAATGACTAAAATTTTCAAATCAGTGGATAAGGAGTATACTTACAACATTGCAGCAAATTGGATAAGATTAAACACCAGATGTATAAAATCCAAAGTTAGTAATTACTATTGAAAGATGACTCATCGGTCACATCATACACAAGAAAAATACCCATGGCTCCACGGTAGTAAGCTGCACAAAAACTAATATTACTTAATTTGTTGTCAACAAGAAAAGACTATTGAAACAAACCATTGAAGCATGCCTCTTAACCTCCTAGCAGACTAAAACACACACAAAGAGAATACAAAGCAACAACCTTGAAGCACAGACGTTATTAAATTGAGAATATTAGTGTGCAAATGACCAGTTTATGCTATTGAATTATTTAATCTTTTAGATAAGTTATTTTAAAGTTACACAATTCATTTAAGTTTCTAGTTAGTGACACCTTCCAATCCCCAAAACTAACCAGTTGTAATTGTTCGAAATCGCTCTTGCCCAGCAGTATCCCAAATTTGCAACTTGATCCTTTTCCCATCAAACTCTATAGTCCTTATCTTAAAATCAATTCTGCCAAAGTAAAAACAACCTTATTAGACCACGTCCCTTGTATAATAGTAATAATACCACTACACTGCTATTTGGATAACACGTACCCAATTGTCGTGATAAAACTTGTAGTAAATGAGCCATCTGAAAAACGCAAAAGTAGGCAACTCTTACCCACACCTGTCCAATGGCATGATAGCATAACAGAGTTATTTGGAACTCAAATTCAAAAGAATGTACAGATTTTCAACCAAATCTCCTCTAAAAATTACTAAACTATCAAGTATCAACCATCAGTCCCAAATTACAAACAACTAAAACTATTTCCCGCAGCCCTCCCTTGAAACAAGAAAGGGTTCTCCATGCAAAAGTACATCTATACGTACAATAGCATTAAAAGAATCCTCAAGGGATTCTGCTACTAACGTCTTGCATGAAATTTTGGCTGGGCTTTTAGTAATGGGTCAGTTTCTGTTTGTCAGCATTTGGATTTGGTATTATTTTCTATTTTTACATTTTTGTTCAGCTGGCATAATGCATTTCCATCGTTACAATTTTATCCCTTATATACTTTTTCTTGAGTTATATCTCCCCTTGTACCTTTTATTTTAGTTCATCTCTACATTTAAATTTTCAAGATTAAACGTGCCAAAACAAACTTCTAATATCAAAATAATTTTAATAATCTTGAAAGTAGAGATTGCCAATCTCGCGGTCACAAAGCTCACTGCCACAGTTATTTTTAATCTAACCGAAACTAATATATGCACGGAATATTTCTCTTCAGCGGTTATTTAAAAATAAGTCCTACAAAGAATGGAGATGGAGGGCAATCAAGAAAGTCCAGAACTAGATCAGTTTCGAGAAGTAATATAGTTTTTATATACAGTTAATTTCGTATGGTTTTGAAATTTTATATTTTCTTATTTTATAAAATTTCTTAGAAGATTTTGTACCAAATAAATAAGATAAACTACGTTTTGCTGGAATTTAATTCATGCTTAGAGTTGTTCAAACTTTTATTTTACTCGGAATAATTTATAACCAATCCACTGAACCCAGCAGATAGCGGGTGATGCACACTAGTACTAAGTAAATCTCAGCTCAGCTTTCAATTCACCTGAATATCCCTTAGCTAGCAAGTTATATTAACAAAGAATACCTTAATAAATAGAGAAAATAACTTCAGTAACCGAAAATACCTTATAATATATGATTTTAACTAAATTTTTTTGAATTTATGAAAATAACCAACAAATTCGCAATGCGAACACCAGTTTCGTAACACAGTTTTCAAATTCGCAACGCGAATTTCGTTTTTGCAACGCTAATTACCGATATAGGTAAACACACAACTCAGTTTTCAAATTCGTAACACGATTCTCCAAAATTGCAACACGAATTTCATTTTCGTAACGCTAATTACCATTATAGGTAAACATAACTATTCGCAACTCAGTTTTCAAATTCGCAACGCGAATTTCACAACTCGAATTCGCCAATTTGGCAATTAAATTACCGATATAGGTAAACTCGGTAGAAAAAATCCGAATTCGATAATTTGAAAACTGAGTTGTATTTACCTATATCGGTAAGTAGTGTTGCGAAAACGAAATTCGTGTTGCGAATTTAAAGAATCGCGTTTTGAATTTAAAAACTGAGTTGTGAATAGTTGTGTTTACCTATATTGGTAATTAGCGTTGCGAAATTCGAGTTGCGAAAACGAAATTCGCGTTGCGATTTTGGAGAATCGCGTTACGAATTTGAAAACTGAGTTGCGAATAGTTGTGTTTACCTATATCGGTAATTAGCGTTGCGAAATTCGTGTTGCGATTTTGGAGAATCGTGTTGCGAATTTAAAAACTGTGTTGCGAAACTGGAGTTTACGTTACGAATTTGTTGGTTATTTTCGCAAATCCAAAAAAAGTTAGTTAAAATCGTATATTTTAAGGCATTTTCGGTCACTGAAGTTATTTTCTCTAATAAATAATACCTAACATCTCAAAATAATAATAAATACAACCTAAAATATAAAGCCAATATTATATTCTCACCATAAAATCACTAAAACGGACAATATTTCTTCAATCAACCTCGCTTATGGAGATAAAATCCCCGTTAAATTATAATCTATAAACCTAAAATGAAGCCTAATCTACGCTAATGATCTCGAAATGAACATCACAACCTCGAATCTAAGTTTTCTATGTTTAGAAAATTAATATAAAAATGTCAAATCCTTTCAGGGAACCATCACATTTTCAAAATCAATGTAGATCTCATCTCAAATCTATACATATAAGAAAGGAAGAGAAATAGTTACCGCTGTCGCTGATCAAAAGGAGCTTTATGAGGTAAACAAATAAACCCTACACCAAAAAAGAAAACCGCCGGTAATTATCACTGTATATATATAACTTAATTGGCAAAATTGGAAAGGACGCGATACAGATCAAGGAAAGAAAAGTGAGATCTGGTGAAGCGTCTCTGGTACGTCAGCACCGGTCGGCTGTTAAAAGAGTAAAATAGTTTTTGAAGGGAATAAATTCAAGAAATAAGGTATGGGATTCGACACCCAATCCTAACCGTTGGATTTATATTTCAAGATGAGACCTCTGTGGATCTAGCGAATGATGATTTGTTCTTCTTCTTTTTCTGTTAATTTGTCAACGAAGAGAAAAGAGAAAATAGCTGGTTGAAGAAAATTAGTGGGCCTCGCGGTCCCTCAGCTGTTAGTTAAACTTCCATCATAAATGCGAGAAAGTAAAGTATGAATTGTATTAATTAAGAGAGTTGATATAAAAATAAGTTTCAAATTATGTTAGAAAAATGTTTTAACGTTTAAAGAATTTTTCATTAAAATTATGTGTTTAATATTTTTTTAGTTATACATTTAGATGTTTACTGTTTATTTTTTTAATTTTTTTAATAATAATAATATATTTTTAATTAAAAATAAAAAAAGTTTAATTTTTTTTAAAAACCTAATTTTTTACTAAAATTTAAAATAAAACACTAAAAAAAACTAAAATCTCTTATTTCAACCTCCATTATCAACTGTCGTCGACCATCTCCAGCCACTATTGTCATCGTCAAACAGTCACCCACCCGTCGCCACCCACACACTGATCAATCATCTTCTTTACTGTCACCCAAAATCCTTAAATCTAAAATCCCCAATATCCAAATTCTTAATTCCTAATTTCAATTTCTTAACTCAAATAGTCGTCGGTCATCATCGTCGTCGCCGAACAGTTGGGTATTAATCGGAATAGCACGATGGTTTGAATGGTGGTAGAGGTGTGGCTTATGGACGTTGGAATCGTCCGAAATCGACTAAGAATGACACGGTGGCCTAAAATATAACGAACCTTTGAACGCTTCTCTACGACAAACGATAGCATATTACGATGAAATGCCAATAGGGATTTGATCGGGGGTCGACGCCGTTGATAATGACAGTCACTGGTTACTTAAAATCCTCATCCACACAATGATGTCTACATCAACAGTTCTTAAGAGCATTTTCTCATGTCTTCATACTTATTCCACTAGCATGTTCATTTAGTGAATGCATGTAGTATAGTACAATTATTAGTGTGGCACTGAGCTCATAAGCTCAGCGTTCAGAATGTGTATATGTGCGTAGATTCTTAGGAGACCGTCCGTGGAGCATTGTTGTCATCATATATTTCATATTCGTCAAGGCACTCAGAGTACGTCTTGATTTATGTTAGAGAGAATATATTATTGTAGACTCGTTTGTATTTAGATGTAACTCTATTTTGTTTTAAATTCAGTATTGTTATTATTTTGGACATTTTGGGAGTTCCCTCATATTTGTAGACTTTGATTATTATGTTTTTATTTCATTTTATCTTGGATGGAATTTATCTTGGCTTTTATTTTTTGTTTCTTTAATTTCTGTTATGTGTGTCTGTTCAAGCCCCATGTTCTTTGTTTTTTTAGTCTTTTGTACTTAATGTTTTTTTATCTAATAAATACTCCCACGGCAGATTAAGTAAAAAAAAAACTATTAGCATCGACTTGGTCTATCGCTAATCGAATGTGAACCTAAAAAAATCAATAACTAATTTGATTAGAATATTTTCATATAAAAATAAATATATGTAAATTCAACTATTTAAAAATGTATAACTTTTAATCTAAATTATCATATAATATTTGTGTAGAGTTTTTTATTCCTTTACAACTGCGTTTATATGACCGTGTCCTCCATAAATTTGACATGAACGTCTTTTCAGTTGTATCTGTCAAAACTATCTCATGACCACTTTTGAATCTTGCCCTTTAAGGCTTCTTTCTTCGACCTTTAGTTTTAAAAACATTTGGATCGCCAATACTAATAGTCGAACGAATGTAATTAAGCTGACTGGTTATTACCCATGAGTTTCTTCACTTGTCAGTTGTTAGGTTGAACGTTTGAAACATCTTTCTCCATAACACTTAAGGGAAAAATAGGAACTTAAGGGACCAAAATATTTCAAAAGGGAATTTAAAGGTACAAAATAGAAAAAAAATATAAACTTAAGGGACTAAAATAGAAAAAAAAACTTAAGGGACTAAAATAGAAATTACAAATAAACTAGAGCCCAGATAACAAATATTGAATAATATAGGTACTATAACTAAAAATAACCCCTAAGTAATATTAAAGGCTAAAATAAAATAAACAGAAACATAAAGGGGGCAAATAACAATTAATCCTAAATGCTAAATAGTGACTGAAATAAAATATTTACAAATCTTAGGGCCAAATTCGAACATCATCCAAAATCAATAAGTAAAATGAAACTATTACAAATACTATAGCCAAAGTCAAACATTAATAGAAATAACAAAACAAGTAAAAACAGGACTAAAATAAAAGTACCGAAACATTAAAGCTCAAAATAAAATAACTATAACTTCATTTAATGGCTAATAACAAGACATTACAAATGTAGGGGACCTAAACTGCAATTGTCCCCAGAAATTAGAAAACCAACTGGTGAGGTTACAAAACAGGGGGACTAAACATGTATTTCCCCTGAAATTTCAAAAACGCGGAGAAAATAGGAAGCAAAACTACGCTGTTTTGCATTTAATATATATATATATATATATAATCTAAGGCCAAAAATTTGGCCACCCCTTCATTTGCTTGCCTTCACCACGAGAGAAGAGAAAGAGAATCAGAATTCTCTCAACTCTCTCATCGGAAGAGAGAAGGTCACCGCCGTTGGTGGCGCCCACGGCGGCCGGAGAGAGGCAACCACCCCCAAAATGCTATTTTCCTCGCCCTTAACCCAAAAACTGACTCCTTTTACTCTAAAACCCACCCTAGCCTCCTAAATCTAAGAATTACCTATCGGGAAAAGATGGCTCCGGCGACCTTAGACTTCCTACGCTTCCTACCAAGGTATGAACTTTCTCCCCTTTTGCTCCTTTTTCTTTTTCTTTTTGGTTCGAAGATATTTTCCTTTTTTTGTTTCTATTTTTTTTTCGAACTCGTTCTCCCTCTCTGTTTTCTTTTGGTTCCCGAATGGTTTTTTTCTTAGTTGCTCTCTATCTGTTTTTATCTTTGCATGCGTGATTAGTGGATGTTTGCTGCTACCGAGGAAGAAATAGGGTATGAATACCCTATTTCGGCTAGATTGACAACCCCCCGATTGCCTTGGGATTGCTTGTTGTTTTTATATATATATTTTTGATTTCTCTGATTTCTTGTTGACTGATGTGGGGGTTGTCACTGTTAGTGGTCACTGTGGATGATAACATTGGGCGGGAACGTTTGACGACGGCTCAGCAGCGGCTCACGCGTCGGTGGGAACTGAGCGGTGAAGTCCACGCGCGGCTGGGAGGCTGAAAGCTAAGAGTCAGCAGCTGCTGAGCTTATTGAAAAGAAACCTAAAAATTTAGGGTTGCATTATGGGCCAGATCGGATCAAGTCCCATTTGAACTGGGTCGGTTTGTAATTATTTGGGTCTTGGGTAGGTAGCTGGTCAGGCCTAGATCCTGGGATGCTGGGCCGGTTCGGGTTTGGCTTGGTGCTGGGTCATTAGGGTCTGTAACTCCCTTGGGCTTGGGTGGTTGTTGGGTTCTGGTGGGTCCTTTGTAATGGGCCTGCAAGATGTAAAATGTGAATTGTTAATGATAATAATAATAATAATGATATTATTAATAATATAAATATATTTATAATAATAATATAATATTTTTGTAGACTCGGATAAAAACGAGTGTCTAAAAACGAGTGTCTACAAGGAGAATGAAGCTTAGGGTGAAAAGTAAAGGTTAAAGTTTTATCGTAAGTTTAGGATAAAAATTTTATAGATTATAAGTTTTCATTACATCTAAGTCATTTATTTATTTAAATCCAAGGGTTATAAATTTATGTAAAAATTATTAGTTTTATCCAATGTAAGTGTATCTTATCCTATGTATGAACTTGATGACAAAAATTAAATATTAATTGTCTCAAGATATGCCTGAATTTAACTACTAGCCAACAAACCACTACGAAAAATATATAAAAAGAAAACCATAGACATTAACCTAAATAGGAGACAAAAGCAGCAATCATGGTTCAACCATATGGCAATTAGGTATTAATTAAGTTAGCATGAAACATATCAAATAAAAGGTCGAAAGTTAAAAAAAATCAACAAATTACCAAGTGGTGGCTTCAAGAATGCTTGACTTGGTCGGTCGTATTTGTATGATACCTTTGTTCGTTGCCTGCGTCAAGAAAGTTGAATGCCAACTCAAATTTGCACACAGTTACTTTTTTTTGTCATTAAAATTTTAGAAATTATATAAATAATTACTAAATTTATTGAATCATTATAAAATTAAAATATTAATAAAATCTGAATATGTTTAATTGTAATTTTCCAATATTTTAACAAAATATAGTGGTCATTTTACAACCGTTTAAAAATTACAATGACCATTATATTATTTTTGAAACTTCAATTACTAAAAAATCATTTTAATATAAATTAGTGGATCTTTTTATATTTTACCTTTAAAAATTGAAAACCGCGTGTTTGGATGAACGCATGACTAGTATTAACTAAGGTCAACTCTTAATTTTTTAAGGTTGATATCTGTCATTAATCCCTATTGTATGCGTTACTTATGAATTTAGTCTATAGACTTTAATTTGGTCAATTTTCATCTGTTTATTTTTAAAATTTTAGTCACGACTCAAACACCACACGGATAATATAACTAATGTTTAATTACTTAAAATGATAAAAATGAAAATAGTATCTAAATCTAACTTATACATAATACATAAAGTAACATCAAAATTTGAGTTAATAGATTTAAAAATTACTCTTGAGGTCACTGAAAATTTAGAATTTAGAAAGTAATAGGATTAGAGATGATCAAATCAGGGGTGACTAAATACATAAGTTATGTGTTGTTTAAGGACTAGTTACCTAAAAATCACTCAAATATTATAATATTACATGTCATGTACTGTTTTCTCAAATTTTATCTATATAACATCAATTTTGACATAATGATAATAAGGCGCGTTACGTGAAACATTCTTTTGCTTAGGTGGGAAATGTTAACATGACATTATGTGAGAAGGCGCGTTTCAAGGAACGTCACCTTTCAAGGTTTTCTTGCCACATCAGATTCCCTAAAAGCATTTTTTAAAAATGCTTTAAAGACTTAAAAAATAAAATTATAAGGACTAACATCGTAATTTAATACATATTAGTTATATAAGTTGAAAAGTTTAATAGAGTTAGTTTATATAGGCATATTGGAGTGCTTATGTTATGTTTCTTGACAATATGAGATAAAAGCTTAAAAGTATATTCCTTAACTTTTTTATCTCTATATCTAATGAATCTAATTATACACTACTGTTAAATTACATTAGGTTAATATTTATTATTAATGTTTATTAATTAAGATTAGATATTTTTTATATGTTAATATTTAAATACTTATTTTTTAATTATGAGTTCAAAAAATTTATGTAACACAAATTAAAAATATTTTATAGACATATAAATGTATTATTTATTGAATATGATTAATTAGATCTATAATTTAAGTTGAAT